AGGATATCAATGTGGCTGCTGACCTTGAGAAAGCTATCGTTCTTTTCCAAAGGTGCAGGTTAATTGTTCTCAGAGGTTGAAAGCATGGCATTACGGCAGAGAAAGAGAATAAACACAGGCTGCTCTGTTTCCATGTGAGTGAGTTCAAGGGAGCACATCTCATAGCTGTAGCAGCAGAAACGTGATGTCAATTGACAAATGATGGCATTGGACTTGATTTAGTGCTTTGAGAAGGAAAGTGCAATCAAGCGAATTAAATTAATTTCTTTTCATTTAAAAAATGAATGCAACAAAATAATGTGGCCAAATCAAAGCATACTTTAATAGAAATTCTGTATATTTTATATTATATTTACACATATATTTACTATGTTTCATGTTTTACTATGTATAATGGTTTTAAGTTTAGTACCGATAACTATAATAGCTCTATCTATCTATCTATCTATCTATCTATGCAATGACCAAAATTGAACTTGATCTAATAAATCACAATTTGTTTGTGATTTTACAGAGAAAGTGACAGAAATTAAGACCAACATCTTTGTGACCAGCTTTGGACCAGTGTCAGACACTGAGATGTTAAGTATTTCAACCATATCCTTTCTTCATGAAGAAACACCATTCATTAATCTCTACAGCAGGAAATTCCCACCCGAGATCTCTCTTCATCAAGACCCCCTTCATTAAATCATGCCTCCATCTGTAACATTACTTCACCTCTGCAACTTTTCCTGAAATTCTGCATGCAATATCTTAGGTAGGTTACAGTATGATCTGATGAATGATACTATTGTTCATTTTTATATTCAGTCTTGTGACACATTTGATTCTGCCTTCAGGCAAGGTCGTTGCTGTAATTGATGGGCCACTGGAGAAAAAGTTTATGGGGAGGCCTCAGTGGGCCCCTCCTCCTCATCATCACAGGGCCCGGGGTCCCTCACAATGACCCTGCCTTCAGGTACACACTAATGACACTAACATTCTCCTTTCAACAGGAATACACCATTGATGTGTTTTTCCGTCAAAGCTGGAAGGATGAGCGTTTGTGTTTCAAGGGGCCAATGGAGATGCTACCTCTGAATAACCTGCTGGCCAGCAACATCTGGACACCAGACACCTTTTTCCTTAATGGCAAAAAATCCATTGCTCACAACATGACAACGCCCAACAAGCTTCTGAGACTGAAGGATGATGGGACATTGCTGTACACCATGAGGTACCAGTTTAAGCTATAACACCTTGTCATTTCCCAGTATGTGAACTGCTGTGTGCATGAATGGATTTGAGTAGTTATGGGTAGTACAGTCATACATTTGACCTTCATCTCATGTATGCCCTCCTCACCCCTGTTTTGCACTGTTGAACCCTCTGCCATGTGACAGATGTGTTAAGCACACATGAACTCGGCTCCCGCTGAACTCAGCATCTCATGTTCCACATCGTACAATCTCTGTGGGAATGTTCAGCTTGCCCCTGCTAAAGCTAAGATTTCTCTCTATACAGTACTTTTTTTTTCAGTGTTGTCTTTTCACAAGAGGTCACTAGGTTTATCTTTCTTGTTGTTTTCTTTTCATTAGTGGTTATACAGGGTGTCCGCGGGTCCTTAAAAAGTCTTAAAATGTCTTAAATAACGTTTTCCTAATAAAAGGCCTTAAAATGTCTTAAATTCAGATTCGATGGGTCTTAAATATTTTTGGTCACATTACCGCTAAAATATCTTAAGTCTGACGGACCTAATGACTGTTTACAATCATTGGACAGACCAAAGATTTTTTTTCTCCCCTGCAGTAAGTTACTGCATCATCAGAGAGAATCGCAGTAGCAGAATACAGGTCAAACTACCTTCTTAATGTTCTCAGTAATAATAAAAATAATAATAATAATATAGGTCGAGCTACTGCTGATCAGCCTTCTAGCTAGTTTCAAATGTTTTTTTTTTTTACTTGCCTGACTGGACAAATCGCCTGATTAAAACATAAGTGAAAAAAAAAAAAACCCAGCGAAGCATCGAAATATGAGAATGATTCTTCTAATTTTATTAGCCTACATTCAATGTAAACAGCGATTGATAATGGATAGTGTAAGTATTTCTGGTATCAAGGTTACTGTTGAGGCTCACTCTGTTTGTCTCTTTGTGAGAGACTTCAGAGAAAATGAGCGTAACAGCACACATAAAGAAACTCAGAAGAAACATATTGCAGTAAAAATTCAAAATGTTTAGTTTATTCATAACATGATATAGTTAAGTAACATACCATGACAAGTGAGCTATTTTGCTGAATCATAAAACATTATTTATGCATTTGTAAAAATAGGCCTTTGTAAAGGTAAATAAAAATAACCAGATTTAAGTATGTAAAAGCTAGAACACTGATGAAAATATTGCTTCAGAATAAATTGTTTACACCACCAAAAATCTCGGTGATGCAGTGCTTTTGTGGGGATATTTTGCATGGAATATTGTCTGCTGATATGAAAGGTTCACTGTATATCTTAGTAATAAATGTAATTTATTACAGCGATGATATTTTGTTTTGTTTTTTACATTAAACACATTAAAACTCGCGTTACTTGTAATGCATTACCCCCAACACTGCATACATGTATGTAATATAATGTGTGTTTCCATTACATGTTTAGGTCTTAAATTTCATATAAGGTGGTATTAAAAAGGTCTTAAAAAGTCTTAAATTTAACTTGTTCATGTCTGTAGAAACCCTGTTATACATTTTTTAGATTTCTCATGCGTATTTATTCTCTTTATATTTCAAGGCAAAAACTCCTCTTGCCCTCTTTATGCTATAGACTTGAATGGTACTTCAAATCATCCAGGTCATTGAGGAGAGGTGTGAGGAGATCTATCGATCTATCTATTAGGGATGCATCGATACCGATACTGCGCTCCTGTACTCGTACTCGTAAAAATGCCCCGATACCAAAAGCCGATACCAAACAGCGTGTGAATAGAGCTTAAGAAACACTGAAAACAGAACAACAGAGTGTAGAATGGAGTTATTAGAGATTAGGGATGTCTATGAAGTACATGTAAGTAATTAATACAATGTTAAACATTCAGTATTCAGGCCTGTATAGCGGATGTGCCCGAGCTGATAAGCAGAGCGCGCTGA